GCGAAAGGAAAAAAACTTAAAAATATGTATTTGATGAAAAACTGCAAAATACTGTAAAACTCGTACAGTCTTTTTATTCAAATTCGATAGTTCCAGTCAAAAGGATTTTATGAATTTTGTCTTTCCTGACTGCGTTTAAAACCTTTTGAAAAAATCACGTCAAAATCCAAGGAAACTAAATACTTTTAGCCATTACTAAAAAAAGTGTTTCTGCAATTCCTAATTAAATTAGTGGAAATTGACAATAGATATACGGCCCGAGGACAAAGCATTTAGATACTAAAATAGCAGGATGTCTCCTTAATCGACTTAGTTATTTAAGGTGAATTTGCCATCTTGTCTAAAAAAACAACATTCGTAGCAAACTGCAATTGCAAAGTGGCCATCAAATATAAAACATAAAAAAAACAGAAAAAGTTACACAAAAAAACAATAAATAATAGTAAAATTTAAGACAAATGTACCTATAAATTGAAAGATTTAAAATGAAATTCAGCTTAAGCCCAAAACGGCCGCAGGTAATCTTAAGCTGGGCTTGCCAAATATTGAAGGTGGATTCCGAATTTGAAAAAGTTCGGTGAAGAATAGAGACCCTCGACTTGGCAAATGAGCTAACGGTTCGAACAAAAGCCCAAAATTACACGGTCAGGTAGAGTAATCGTTAAACCTAGCAATAATAAACCAAAGAAGCCATACATCACCGTGAACGGTTCTTATAAACGAGGGCAATTCCTCATCACAAATGCCATTATTTTAATTTTTTATTATTTCATTTGTATCTACAATTTTAAAAACCGAAGATACTGTATTGAGTGTATGCTTGAGTGTGAGCAAGTCTAAGTTGAAACGTTGAAATTTATCCAAGAAAGATTGAAAAACCCATTCTTTTTTGGAAACTTCCTGAATAAAATATCGCCGGTACGTAAACTAGTAGTATTTGTTTCCATCGTGAGCAGATTTAAACGGCCCCATAAAACCTTGTAAAGTCGACACAAACAAAGTTTCGAGCTTTTATTACGTTGTTAAACAAAGCGGTTACGTGTATAAAACAAGTCTGATGTGTACTATTAGGCGCCGTTTTTTAATTACTGAAGTCGGTTAAATGCAACTGCCAGGCTCTAGACGGGCCTTTTTGTATGATGGTCGTTTGCCTTAACTGGATTGGATCGACTTTTTAACGCCAAAAGCACAAAAGGTGCAGAGAAAGTTCCCAAGTGAGGCTTCTGGGAAGAACAATCATCAACATCAGTAGTTATTAAGTTAAATCAACCAGATCAAATTGACTGAACAATGTCACTAAATACAGCAGGCAAAAGTCGGCAGTCGGTAGTCATAAGCAATCAATTTGATTTCCTCATTTCAAATATCTTTACGATTAGCAAATTGTGCATTTAAAATTACAATCGCTCCTTAAATGCCTGTCGACTAGCAAATTTATAGGCGCAATCGTTTGCCAACATCAATAATCAAATTTGAATACCCGTGTGGTCTTTGTATCCGCTTATGATATCAGATTAATTAATTAATTTAAGAAAAAACAGGCATAGTTTTATAATAACAAATAGTTACCCAATTAGTAAGAAATGCGCTAATTATTTATTTTAGTGATTAAGGATATTTCACAGTGGCATGATTAATCTAATAAATATCATAATTTTCCATTACATTGTAGCATGAGCTATTAATTAAACAAATGTCGCATAGGTAGCCGGAGCTGAATAAATGTTGCAAAATCACAAATAATTCTCTAGCAGAAACAATGTTACAATAACAGCAACTTGAAGAGAACCACCGCAACAGTTCAAATTAGTTAATTTAGACGCTGTTATCCAAAAGTGCCCTTCCTTCATCGTTTACGAGGGAGAAAGCATGGAATAATTACATTTCAGATTATTTATTAACTGCGAACTAACCCTTTCGTTTCGGGGAAATAAAATAGGGATTGTATACCGAAGCAAGCAAGATATGAGATAGGAGGAGCAGAGGCTTATGGAATCAGTTATAAAGCAACAATATAAATGTTACATAATTTTTTCAACCACTGTAAACGATTGATGAAGTATGATTCATCAATATAACATTTTTATTCTCTTCTACGTGAATTTGAAATACTGTTTTGCGGTTTATTTGTATTTTTAACTCCAATTTTGCCTATTCAAATTCAATCATATTCATTTTTTTTTGGTAAGTCGCACAAGTCGTTGACTGAAAAAACGGCGCCAAAAGATGGAAATTTAACGGAAAACGTACACACCGGAATTCGGGTGCATTTTTATTGAGCAAACAAACACGTAATTTAAAATAGTCGTTAGAAGTCGAACAATTCATTTAATTTGTTGTTTATTACCTAAAATTAGTTTAATGTGTTGGTTTATTTGGTAATAAAAATGTATTCAAATAGAGCAACCGCTTTTCTTATCTGCATATATGAGGTCCAAATTATTGGTGAATTTATCGATAACTGTAGAATTCTGGTTACATCAAACATACTTAGAAGTTGATGCAAAATTCCAAAATAAAATACATATTTTCGCAGCCAAAATAAAACTAGACTTGGGCGTTTTTCATAGTTTTTCACATTCAGTTTCACACATTCAAGTGTCATAGAAAAATGTCCGAAAGGTTTAAGTACAAAAATGTGTTAAAATTGAGTGAAAAAATAGTAGAGAATAGCGCAAAAGCAAATAAATTTTATAACTTGAAATATCAACTGTAAACGTGATTTTTAAACGCTTTCGAAGTGTGTTGTGGCATAGAAACTAATCAATTTCCAGCAGTCGAATTGGAGACGATTAAGACACAGGGGTGAGAATGAACGTAAAACTCGGAACTAAATGAAAGAATGTGAAATTTCAAATGCCAGAGAGAATTGAGATGATGCAAACGGAATAAACTAAGGAATTGAACAATCTCATTTACTAAAGCTGAACAAAGCGTTAATTCGAACTTATTCCGTAATAATCGCGTTAACTGTATGATGCAATTGTGAAGTTCATTCATTAATAAGAAATGATTGATAATTATGACCATTTGAATATTTTTCAACGTCCAACTAATGCATTTTTAATTTCTTTCAATGTTACTCATCACTGTACGCACTTGCATTTCCACATTTAATTAATTTAAATTGCCTTTTGCCTGCGAATTATCATCAACAATGCGAAAAGTAAATTAAATAGTGTTTCTTCTTCTACTAATCCGCGCAGTTTCATTTCCGATGCACAAACAAGAACGGCGAAATAATCGAAATAGCATCATACAGTAATATCGAGAGAACAATAGCGGAAAACGCATTCGCTCCTCTCCCCTTGAACAAAAGTGGAAATAATTACAAAACAGAATGCAAAATAAACGAAGGGTGAACTGGAGTGGATAAGTCCTTTTGCCCTACATATCTGCCCTGTTTGATATATGTTTTATTGAGTTCGGTTTTATTAAATGCAGTTCGGGATTCCGATCCAGAGTCCGAATCTCGAGTGGTTTGATGATAACGCACGTGTCTAATTAGATTTCTGAATCCCGAGGGATTATGGCATTGGTGTAGTTTTCACTTTTAGTCGAAGAAACCAGGGTTTTCTTCTTATAAGTTGAATATGCGAAAATAATAGAGATACAATTTTAAGTAATTATCAAAGACGTCAGCTATGAGTGGGTTGGTTAGTTATTAATGTGTCGTATTATGGAAGCGAAAACAGGCCAAAAGTTAAAACAACGAGGCAAAAGCTTGCAGGGCTAATAAAATTTACCCAGATATTGCATAAGTTTTCAACATATCATACGATGGGAGTGAAATTCTGAATACAAAAAATTCTATTGACCTTATGCTGCTTATGTTTTAACCACCCAATCTCCTTGGAAGGGTATTTTGTGGGTCCCCTTTTATTTTGCCTCAAAACTTAAGCAACAAAATTAATTTTAGTAAATGATCCATTGGGAAACTTTTTTTGTCTGTTGGTGCTTTTTCACATTTGATTTTGTTTCTGAGATATTTAATTAAATTCGGGACAACGTAGTCACATAAATTTCATTAAAGGTGTGCAGATTATTGATACAAGTCAATTTCGAAAGTTTTTTTGGTACGCAACATTTACTGCAAACTTTTACCAACTCAGGCAAAAATTTCAAAAATTGCTCAAAGTGTATATCTGTAGCCTGAACACATTTTTGGCATTGACGAACAAGTGTTTTAACCGCCGCTGGTTTTGAACGGGATAATTTTTCAGTTTATCACAATCGCTTTTAATGCTATGAATCAATTGCGCACGGGTATTTACTGGTTTTTCGCAAACGATTGATCTTAGATGTCCCAAGCAAAATTATCCAAATGATTCAGGTCGGGTGAGTGTGCTGTCCAAGTCACTGGTCCTTTGCAAGGAACATTTTTGAAGTGGCCACAGACTTAAGTTAAAACAAATCATGGCTAGGGTGCTACATTGTCCCGAATTTCATTGAATATCTCTGAATCAAGGGAAAATGTGAAAAAGTGGTTAGAAACAAAAAAGTTTCCAAATGTATCAGTGAATGTATCTGTGGAGCCGTTGCAATGAAATTACTTTTTTTGTTCAAGTTTTGATGCAAAATAAGGTGGGGATGACCCCAAAATACACGTCTAAAGAGGGCAAAGAGCATCTGTAGGGTCAGCAAAAGTGTTTGCATGCCAAATTTGAATACAATCGAATGAAACGCTGCTAATCTTATGAAGAAAAAAGTAGCAAAAATGAGAGGATAATGAGATTTAGGATTTCTCGCCTGTTCTAATGACTCCCGAACTTATCAAGATTAAACCTGAATAACCCGGTATAGCTGATGCAAATATTTGGCTGCCAATAATGTGAAAAGCACTAGACTATTTTATTTGCGCTCAACAATGCGAAAACGACCCTATTTAGAAACTGTCCAAACTGATAAAATGTATGTTTCGACATGAAGTGATTTCTGAGCCCTGGACTGTAAAGTGTCTTGTACATAAAGGTAAGTGGACGACATTCGCAAATACATACCTGGCAGTGGTGCAATCTTTATAGAGAGTATCAAAGTCTTTGCATGATAAGAGTTTGCATCTGTTGACACCTGGCTGTATAGCGCCCAACCCTCTCAAGATGCGAACTTGTTCCACATTACAAACCAGCGGAACGATATCGAGTCTCTTCAACTTAGTGTAAACTGTGTGCAACCCTCCAACCAAATGCTTCAAGAACAGTTCGAACGCTTGGGGCAGACAAAGCATCGTGTCACCGGCAATGATAAAAGCTGCCACTTGCTGACCACGATAGTCGACCAGTTTGCACTCATTAGCTGTCGGATCAGACGTGGATATTGGTGGCGGTGAGTTGTAAGAGCGTGGAGGCCCATGATGAGCCATCAGGTCCAAGGGATTGTGCAGCACCCCAAGGGAGTTTAAGAGGCCCAGGCCTGGCGGGGGCAGGTGGCTCAAAGCCATGCTTCTGGCCAGAGAGGCACTGGATACCGGTGGAGGACTTAGAGGGTGAGCCATCGACATTGGAGGGCCCAAAGGAGAAGCCTGATGAGGACTGTGAACCTGATGCTGGTGGTGGTGGTTGGAGATGTTGTTGTTGTTGTTAGTCGGGGGAGATGGAGACTGTTTAATGGCAACAGCTGGGGAGCCGGATGAAGCGTGACTACTATGATCACTGGCAGAGTCTACACCGGAATTGTCCATCATCATCATTCGAAAACACTGAAATTGTCCGGCACGCAACGCGTAGTGAATTTTGAGTACTGAAGGGCACCACCCCACAAACTCTGTTAATGCAAATGACAATCACGACGCGACTACTATCCCAAAGTCCATCCGTAGAAACGTACCGACAATTGGAGAATGGGCTATTCGCCCACGACGATTGTTTGTCTGTCTCTCCAAATCGAGTGAGGCGTGGTGAGATTCGAACTCCTATGCCTGCGCACTGAACGGAACCTCTACCGGCGGCCGACTACAAATGTAATAAATAAAAACATTTGGAAAAACTCCAGTAACTCCTCGGCTCCACCTCCAGGACCCGGGGCGGGCTTTATTGGCGTGCGGAACTGAACGGCGCGCTGCCATTCGATGCCCCACCGCTCCTCGCTTTTCTAACACGCCCTCAGGCTACAGAAAGAAGTTGCGATTTTCTTTGTGTGGGGCGCCGGAGAGGAAAACTTGAAATATGAGCTGTGACGTATTGATAAAGAATGTCACCGCGTTCTGTACGCAATCGATACAAGCGATGGACCGGGGGAAGAGGGACTGCCAACTATTTCCTTTTTTTTTCTAATTTTTGGTTTTGTTTTCTCTCTCGATCCGCCCGGTACGCCGCGCTCTTTTGTTTTTCTTAAATTGCGCCAGCCTGGGAGTAGCTTTTGTCTGCAGACGCGCGGGTGTTTCTCTATGCACCCCGTTTATTTGCTACTTTTTTATTATTTTTCCATTCAATGCTATTCGTTTCTCCTGTTTCCTGTACGGTTATTAATTAAATTTTATTATCTTGGTGCTGGCACTAGTTCGGGGGGGTTTTGTTCTACATTGGCCAGCATCGTTCCGAAAACACAAGGTTGCCGTCGTTTTATCGCAATTCGTTTCGCATATTTATTCCTTCGTTCGAACGTTATTAACTAATTTATGCACAGGCAGGCCGATTGTGGGCTCTGTCGGTTTCGCTCAGGGCTTTAGAGCTTTCCAATGTTCAGAGTATCGCAAAATACATCTACAATTCAAAAAATTGATAAAAGTGACTTAAATATAAACCGTAAGTTTATCTATATGTTATGTTAATTTAAATTAGTCTCCTGGGTTGCAGTCATTTATTCCGAATCACAATTATTCATTTTTTGGAACGTTTCGGTGTTTTTCCACCATGCTCAGTTAGTCTAAATTAGGGACCCGTACCGGAACCGATGTGGACCCAAAACCGGAACGGAACCGGTTTTTTTTTCTGGACCGGATCAGAAACTGAACCCATATTTTATACCGAAACGTCTTATTTCGGTTTCTTCTCGGCACAGCTTGTAATGGTTGAAGGAAATTATTACTTGGGTTTCTGCGGATTTCTAGGAAATTTCCCTCTCGATAACAAAAAATCAATGCCATTTTTAGATACAAAGAGGGTTCGGGGAATGTCAACATATTTAATTAGATAAGTACCTAAATACAATAATTTAGATTATTTAAAACTTTCAACTTCTTGTATTTTATCAGACTATGAAGGCTTTCACGGCCGGTCAGATTACATTCTTGTATTTTTCTTGAGTTTTTAACTAGGTATGTTTCAAACGCTCTTCGTGAATAATAGTTTTTAGTTATTAGCAGTTGTTGGTTATAACAGTTTTTATGGCTACTGGCAAGAATGCAAGTTGTCATTAAAGAAAACTGGTTCTTTGCAACAGTTATCTTCAGGAAAATGGAAGAAAGAGAAGTCATGCTGTTAAATAATGAAGTGATCTTTGCCGGGATAGTTTTGGACCCTTTGGAAAAAGGTAGTTTGAGACGACAATCAAGTAGAAAGAGCACACGCACATTTAAAATCGTTATGGACTAAACTGAGGTTCTTAAAAACCCGCAATTCTTCCAATTATGAATTTAGCCCTGACCGACACGATATGTAAACGAATTCATCTGGTTCGCGTTCTTCATTAAGCGATAAAATGGAAGCTTTTTTAAGGCATACAGGTTCAGAGGAAAAGTTTTAAAAGGAATTAATCTGCACGAATTTTGTTCACACGGTTCATTTATAGCCCTTAAGAAAATTGAAATTAGTTTAAATTCCTATAAAGTGGAACAAAAAAAACCAAGACAAAGCTTAATCCCGAGTTATACATGCTTGCTCAAGTAGGCAGCTTCCTATGCTTTATTCCTTCCTTCTTTCCCTCCTCCCTCCAGAATATTATTTGTGAGGATCAACCGAGTTTATACACTACTTTTTAAATCCTTTTTTAAGTTACATTATTTTAGTTCTTCGATCACCAACATCAAAAAATTTGAAATTGGAAAACCAACTCAAAAGATTGTGAAGAGTGTAACGGCACAAACCAGAGAGGAAAATCTTTAAACGGAAATAAAACTGAAATAATAGGAATTATCGAAATAGTGGACCTGAGTGAACACGGAATGAAGAACAAAGCGCTGAAGCGCAGAACTCAGAAAAAAAATACTTTTCAAAAATACCACGATTAGATAAATTTTTGTATGGATGTCCTTATTTCCTTGTTGTTCCATTTAATAATAGGTAGTGAGAAGCAAAGCCAAACTGTAAAAAAGTATTACTTTCAAATAAGGGGTAAAATTAAATTCAGTTAATTCGACAATACGAATAATAATAATAATAATAATAATAAAATTAAAAGATAATCATAACCAATACACAACAATAAAATAATCTCAGGCTTTTTGCTATTTCATTTTCGATGATTTTCTTGTTAATGGTAACAGTAGAATCTGAATCCAATCAGGATATATTTTCATGAAGTAGGATTTACATAAGTAATCTATCAAAAGTACAACAAATTTGATTGAACATGTAGAGATTTTTACGTTTTGATTGGGCTTTGGGCATTTTAGCCACCACGCACATTAGCCGAATCTGACGACAAACTTAAATATTATCTAATAATGAACTAATAATTCTTGTCAAGGTTGAGTAATATTGCTGTTTACACATCAACTCATTTCAGATTTCACGATTCTAGCAAGAAATATTGAAAAAATAATAGTTAAAGTGTATACTGTAGGTAAACTCTTCAGCGGTATTTATTTGCTGCTTGCGATTTAACTGTTTTATAAAATGTACATGAAAGCATTTTTTTACTAACGTACCTACACTACAATTTCAAGGTAAAAGTTAACAAATAATCTAGAAGAGAAGGACAAATATCTGGAACCAATTACATCTGAAATATATTATGATTTCATGTTTACTCACTTAAAGTGAACTGTTGGTATGTTAATTTTTCTTATCATATTTTTGCCCTTTGCAAGAGTCTCACAAGACTTGCAAGCGATGGATTTATGTCTGTCTAACTTCTTAACATTTTAGAGCATATTGTCATGATGAATGATAATTTTCACGCATTTTAAACGTGTGTGCATTTAAATAGTTAATACTTTTAGCAGGCACAGTTTTGTATTATTGTTTAATGGTTTGTAACTTTATTTACTTACAATACAATATTTTTATATATAAAGTGCTGAAACTTGGCATCATATTAAACAGTTGTAAGTGGCAAGTGAAACTCTTGCATCGTTGCTTATTGAATATTTCACTTTTCTATCAATAGCAGATAGAAACACTAGCAGAAATAGTAGCAAACGATTATAATTTATTACCAATCGATATTTGAGTCCTTTAAGGTATTCAGTATTACGGTCAATTGATGCCGGTTAATTCTCTGTTCCCGACTAATAATTTTTCGTTTTAGTCGCGTAGTGTACTTGAAAAATTAATTTTGAGAACAAAACTACAAAAAAGTGGCTAACAGTTAAAATTCCGAGAGCCTGGAGTAGAAGTGTTCACGAAAAATTGGCTGGCAGGAAAGAATGAAAAGTTGCAATTCCTGTTATATAAATAAGTGAACAGGTTGAAAGTGCGTTTTTCAAATTCTGCTCAAATTTTAAACAAAATTCTATTACAATCGATGTCCACAAAACGCTACTAACGCACATTTAAAAAAAATTAAGTTTTTAGTTCGGTAAAATTCGCAAAATTTTTAGTCTAGCGGTTGTATGAAATAAGCTATTTTCACGGTTAAAAATTTCGTTAAAGTGAAGCATTCTATACTTAAAGATGAAAAATTATTCACTATTCGTCACTATCTTCAAAGAATGCCTTCTACCCGAAAAAAGTTTTGTTTCTATCTTTGCCGTTTTCAAGGGTAGTGTCGAACCGGTTTCATACCGGGTGTTTCTTTGTTCTGATATATTAACCCCGCTGTTGCTATTCATATAATATTCGTAATACTTATTATTTGTGTCTTTCTGTTTTCGTTATTCTCTTCTCAATTCGTAAACATTATTCCTTTTCTGAAGAAAATTGGGAATAGTGACTAAATCATCAACTGAATATTGTAAGATTATAACTAACTGAATCAAGATTGGATTTAAATACGTCAGAAGGTGTTAGATTTGTATAAAATATTAAATTTATATAAAAATATATTTGTATCGTTGCTGAAAATTTAATACAGTGTCAGATACAGAGTGGATCAAAAAGCTTGGGCAGTTGATATTTATGCACCTAATAAAAAAGTTTTTCTAAAATTCACTTAGAAGTAAAAAAGGACCATAAATATGAGAATTGATGCTAGCTATAAATTACGTAGAATTGGCGGTTGGTTCATGCAGAAATTAACGCAAAAAGGATTATTGTCAGATCTTTTTAAAAAGTTTAATTCAAACAATTATGCGTGGCTGCCTGAATATGAGGGAGATTTGCAAGAATAACCCTAGTGACAGTGCACTGATGGATCACTAGAGTAAATTGTAAAGAGTGAAGGGGTTGAAGAAAGCCGGCTACTTTCACGTGCATAGAACAGCGTCATGACTGATCGCCTAACTACGCATTCAACGCAAATTTTTTAAGCATCAATTCATGCACTCGTGCCAAAATACCGAGGATTAAAAATTTCTTTAAAATTTCCTGCTTGTTTTCAGTTTCGTGTTTTTGGCCCCAAAGTGTCCTTTAACTTACAAGGAGTGTTTCAGAATGTCAAGAATTAGGAAAAATATGTTAGAATGTACAATTTGCTAAAAATAACAAAACGGGAAACAGATACGAGAGTAAAAATTTGACTGTTAACTTTTCCCAACTGGTTTTACTACAGCGGCATGCTTGTTATTGGCGGAAAAATTTTCACTTCCAGTTCAACTCACTTCTTAGTCACCTATAAGGTGTTTCGAAAATAACTAGGCAAATTAGGGCAGCATGAAAATTAATAGAAAAGTAACAATAATCATAGAAGTAGTAGATGATTGTTTAATT